CGGCCCTTCCCGCCAACCTGCTTGGCACGGGGACGGAAAGCGCATTTACTTTCAGAGCGCGAGATGTCGTTGGCTTGCCCGTTCTTTCTCTCTGTCTTCCCGTTTGGAGGCTCTCTTGGGGCATCTTGGTGGCATATTGGGCGCCCTCTAGGGCTATCCCGAAGCTGCAGGAGGCCTCTTGAGGGGGAACCAGGGCGTGTTGGTATCTTGGGAAGGCACTAGAGCGCGATAAAACACGAATGAAGATTAGGATCGTACTGTCGATGATGATGATGATGACGACGACATACTGTCTCTTGGGAGCATATTGGGCGTCTCCCAGGCCCTCCTTGGGCCGTCTTGTGGCTCTCTTAGGCCCTCTTGGGGCCCTGCTGGGCCGTCCTCAGGCTCTCTTGGGAGCCTCTCGGGCTGTCATGGCACAATCTCGGGGGGGCTGTATCGGGCCGTTCTAGCCCGAGAAGGCGAGGAGCTGGAAAACCTTCATAAACCTAAAAAGGCAACAATGGCTTATTCGTCCTTCAGCACTTCTGGGGGTCCTCTCGGGTGCCGCTTGGGGTGTCTTGGAGGCCTCTTGGGCTGTGCTGAGGCCATCTTGGGCTATCTTGGATCGCTCTTGGGCCGTCTTCGGTCCCGTCTGGGCCTCTCTCACGCCGTCTTGGAGGTGCCTTAAGTTGGCGAGGAGCTCATGCAGGTAGGGCGGGGCCAAGGGCGCCCCCCAGGCGGCGAAAGCCTACTTTCGTTTTTTTTCCCCGCTTAGACCGCCCATCGGTGCTCGAGGGGGGGGTCTTGAAGACCTCTTGAGCCGTATTGAGGCAGTCGTGGGCTATCTGGATCGCTCTTGGGCCGTCCTCTCTCAACGCCGGCGTGGAGGCCGTGGAAGCCGCCTGCATACGTGCAGATGTTCGAACACGTCTTGGGGCCGTCTTGGAGGTACCTTGGGCCACCTTGGGGCGATCTTACGGGCCTCTGGCCTCTTGGGCCGTCTTGGAGGCATCTTGGACCGTCTTGGAGGACGCTTGGCCTCTCATGGGCTGTCTTGAAGGTGCCTCAAGATGACGAGGACTTTATGCGCTTACGCGAAGCCTACGCGGAGCTTACGCGGAGCCCTGGTGTCTAGAACTGGTTACGTCACCGCTCTCTGTTGGGAGCATTGGTCGTATCAGCTTGTTTGCGTCACTGCTCACACTTGGGAGCCGCGGTGTTCAGGGTCCGTCAAGGGTCCGTGAACAGGGAACTCTTTTCCCTGCTAACGGTCCGTTAACAGGGAAAACACGCGTCTGTCACCCGATGTTCCTTGTTAAGTCCTTGTTAAGGGCTCCGTTAACAGGGAAAAGGGTGCCCGAGCGTCCGTCACCTGATTTTCATTGTGAGGCAAGGAAAGGGAGCGGATCTTCCATGTTAAGCACACGATGTTCCCTGTCAAGGGCTCCGTTAACAAGGAAAAAGGTACCCGAGCGAAACATGTCCCGGTTCACGGTCCGTTAACAGGGAAACGAACATTTCCTTGTTAACGGTCCGTGAACAGGGAAACGAGCGGGCGAAACATGTCCTTGTTAACGGTCCGTTAACAGGGAAACGGGCGGGCCAGAAAAACACCCGATGTTCCTTGTGAAGGGCTCCGTTGACAAGGAAAAACAAAGGGAAAAAGGGCGGGCCATTCGATCCCGCAACGCAGAGGCCACCCCCTCACACTCCCCCTAACTAATTCCTTCCGACTAACGGATCGCACGCTACGCGCGCTTTCCGTCATCCGCCGCCCCTTGCTGGCTTGCCACAGGGGTGCCCGGCGTGCTAGATCCTTTCGGTTTTGGTTCTTTTTCCAAAAGAACTCCCCCTGGGGCTTCGGCCCGTCCCGCCGGGGTCCCGGAAGGGAGCTCAATCCCCAATTGTTCCTCCAAGACGGCTCAAGATGGCCTCCAAGATGGCCACATTGGCCCAGGATTGCCTCCAAGATGGTCCAAGATGGCCTCCAAGTCCGCCCAAGATGGCCGTCGGCGCATCCCGCCAACGTGCCTGAGTTGTAGGTGTGAAGCCAAGTGGGTGTTCGTTGGGATCTCGGGGGGGGCCTCTCCAGGGCCTCTTAGAGGCAGTGTGGAGGCTTCTCGGGGGCCGTTTTGGGGCCTCTTGGGGCATCTTGGGGGCATCTTGGTGCCTTCTGGGCGCCTCTTGGGGTCTCCTGGGGGCCTCTTGGGGCAGAAGGCTCGGATGTTCGGTTCGTGTTCCATCCCTTGGGCTCCCTTTTGGGACCGGGCCGTCTTGGGCGCCTCTTGGGGCGCTCTTAGGCCGTCTTGGGGCCCGCTTGGAGGCCTTTTGTACCTTTTTGATGTGTCTGGGGGGCCTTTTGGGCCGTCTTGGACGTCGGAGAGCCGAAACAGGCGAGAACGCCCAAGTCCTTCAATCACAGGAAGATCAGTGATGTTTGCCTCTTGGGGCCCCCTTGGGAGGCCTGTTGAAGGCCTCCTGGGGCGTCTTGGCGGCCTCTCGGGCCGTCCAGAGGCCATCTCGGGCGTCTTGGGCCGATCCTTCGGCGACTCGGGGCGCTCTCGGGCCGTCTTCGGGGCCTATTGGAGCCTTCTTGGCCCGTCTTGGGGCCCCCTTGGACCCGAAATCAAGGGCTCCCAGGAGGGCGCGAAGTTATTCGCGCTTCGCCGTCCTCCTTCCTCCTCCCCCTCCTCCTCGTCCTCCTCTTCTCCCCCTTGGGGGGCGGCGCGAGAGCGCGAAGTTATTCGCGCTTCGCGCTTCGCGCAGCGCGAAGCGCGAACTTAGGAGCCCTTGCGAAATATTCACGCGCCACCACTTCTCAAAGCCCAGGGGTTACGCTCGGAGCCCTAAGAGAATTGCGAGTTTGCGGTCCGGGCCCCTTGAAGATTCTTCCTCAGGAATGGGGACTGAGGCTCAAGGGATTCGGCAAAGGACCTGAGGGCACGCCAACTCCGTGCCCAGCGGCACGGTGGCGGATATGTCGAAACCGACGTCTACTCAGCCGCAGTCTTGTGCCAGCAACGTGTGTGTGTATATATATAGATCTAAACATTGTGTATATGATAAGCACAGATATGTTCATATGAATGTGTGCATACCTTTATGCATGCACATACGCATTCATGCATGTGTGTATGTATGTATGCTTGCATGCATGCATGTATGTATGCAGGTAGGTAGGTCGACATGTCGGTATGTAGTGTATGAATGCGTGTGTGCATGTATGTTTGTATGTATGCATGCATGCATGTATGCATGTATGCAGGTATGTATGCATGTATGTATGTAATTGTATGTATGGATGTATGTATGTATATATGTATGTACGTACGTATGTATGCATGTATGTATGTAATTGTATGTATGTATGTATGTATGTATATATGTATGTACGTACGTATGTATGTATGTATGTATGTATGTATGTATGTATGTATGTATATGTGTAGGGATGTAGGTATGTATGTATGTTTGTATGTATGTATGTATGTATGCATGTAGGGATATATGCATGCATGCATATATGAATGTATGCATGTATGTATGTATGTCTGTATGCATGTATGTATGTATGCATGTATGCATGCATATATGTATGTATGTATGTGTATGTATGTATGTATATATGCACGCATGTGCGTATGTACGCATGCATACACGTATGTGTGTATGCATGTATGTGTGTATGTATGCATGTATGTATATGTGCATGGAGGTATGTGTGGTTGTATGTATACATGTATGGATGTATGTGTATACGTATGTACATGTACGAGCGAAGGAATGTATGTGTGCATGCATGTATGTATCAATGTATGGGTGTCTGTATACACGTATGTATGTATGCATGCATGCATGCATGCATGCATGCATGCATGTATGTATAGACGTATGTATGCATGTATGTATGTATGTATGTATGTATGTATGTATGTATGTATGTATGTATGTTTGTCTGGGTGTGTATGTATGTATGCAAGTATGTATGCAAGCATGTATGCATGTATGTATGCATGCATGTGTGTATGTATGTGTGCATATATATATATGTGTTTATCTCGGCCCCAGGAGGCCCGACTACATGTCCAGATCCGCCGCCTGCCGAGGCCCTCGCAGATCGATCCCCCAGGCCGCGGTCATGGATAGAGCCCCCCCGGCCCCAGACCACCCGCCGGTGATCGCCCGAGGCGTCCAGATCGCCAGAGCGGGCACCGCCCGAAAGCTACTTGCGCTCTGCGTGCGCGGCGTCGGCGCCGCACGGGCGGCGCGCACGCTCGGCAGTCTTGACAGCATCAGCCCCGCGGCGGGGGCGCGCTCTGGCCGTGTCGCTCTGGCAGCGATGTGCCACAGGCAAGGCGCCGAGATGAGGGACGCGCTGGGCTCAGAGGGGGCTCTGACTTGCGGGCCGTTCCTTCGACCCAGCTGAGGGAGAGCCTGTTCGTGGTCGAGGGTCGCCGTGGCCAGAGAAGCCCCGTCGTTCCTTGTGCAGCGCTCCTTCTAGTAGCACGATGACTGTACAAGATGTGTGTACTATGTGTTCGTGTTGGGCGTGAGCCTGCAGCAGCAGCACGCAGCACCAGTACACCCATCAGAACTCATGAGAATAAGCATCAGCGTTCGTGGACTCCAGGTTCCGCTTCAGAAGGTCAGGAATATGGACTGGACCCTGGGCGTTTTCTTGGAGCTTCCTTCTCTTCGAAGACCGTTCGTGCAATTATGTGATCGTTTTCTTATTCATGGAATAATTAGATCTTGGCTGTTTTATGGCGCCTGTTTCGAGCAGGTGGAGTCTCCCCCAAAGAACGCACTGTTGCAAACAGTGGCGTTCAGCAGAGGTCCGGAGCCAGACCCCCCCCCCTCCCCCCCCTCTTCCGCCCAGTGTCGAAGCGCCGAGTAAGAACACCCTCGCTGTGCGGACCTGGAGTGCGGTTGAAGAAAACGCCTGGAGTGAAGTCCATGATGTTCTCGGCGTAGCGTGTCCTCAACTCTGCGCAGGGGCGCATCTCTCCTTCTCGCGTCTCAAGGGTGGGGCGGCCCTGCGCGCCGCCGGAGCCCAGCGAGTGCCCCCCCCCCCGGCGCCGCGAGATGTCCTGCGGCTTCGCGTGCCGCCTGCTCCCGGCCGCGCGTGCGAGGGAGAGCGGCCCTCCGCTCCGGCGGGGCGACCTCGGGCGCGCGTCGGGGCTCGACATCGGCGGCGAGCGAGGGGGGGGGGGGGGAAGAGGCGAGGAGGGGGCGGGCCTTCTCAGAGGTCTCGGAAGGCCCCCCGGGCGTCGGAGAAGGCTTCTGAGCCTCCCCGCAGGCGCAGGGCGCTTCTCGGAAGGCGCGAGGGCTTCGGAGAAGTCCCGCCGCCTTCTGAGAAGGCCTTCTCCTTCTCACTTCCTCCCCCCTCGCTCGCCGCCGTCAAGAGGCGGGGGTCAATGTAAACGTGGGTCAGTCTGAGCGCCGGATCTTGCACGACCATGCAGAGCCAGGGTTGCATTGACCTGGGCTTGGGCGCAGGATCCTGCAGGATCCTGCAAGGCCTGTCTGGCCCGGGTCTGGATTGACCCGGGTCAGTAGATCCCCCAGCGCAGCTTTCGGGGGGCGCGGGGGCGCCAAAACCTCAGAGACGTAGAGGTAGGCACCAACACCTGGGAGCTAGCTTGGGGCCTGAAGTGGCCCAGCACGGTTTCCAGCCAGCAAGAAAGGAGGGGACGAGGTTGGGGTCGAAACGGTTTTTGCTCCCTTTTCCTGCCCGTGCAGGGGGGCCGTTTTCGGGCCGCGGGACGGTCAGAAACGTATCTGGGGCGCAAAGTTGAAGCAGATGGACCTCGGGAGGTGTCCGGGGACCGATTCTGAACGAATTTGGCTTTATCCTTCGTTGAGCCCCCTGGCCTCGTGGCCTTCTGGCCAGGAGGACCCCCTCCTGGCCTTCACCTGGGGCCTGAACGATTCCGAACAGGTTGGCCAGAAGGCCCTCCTGTTCAGAAGATGAGGCCTTCACCCCCAGGAAGATCGGCCAGGAGGCCTCATCCTGGGGCCTGGACGATCATGAACAGCTTGGACCCCCTCCTGGCCGATGTTCTGGGGTCCCAGCCTGCTCAGACCCCCCGCCCGCCTCCAAGCAGCAGCACCGATATCGGCAGGTTGCCTCCGCCGAGGGAAGGAGGTCCCGACCTCGGTGATGGTGGTGATGGTCGGGCCCCTGGGTGGCCGACAGATCAGCACCAGCGCCGGAATCTGGGATCATCTTCCCTCGTTTCAGCACGAACGACGTGCATACGGAAAAAATGGGTACTATGCCCAACAGCAGTTCCTGCTCATTTTGAACAGGACTCGCTGTCCGCGCCGCTGCGGCCTGTGTCCACTTGAGCCAGCTAACCGGCCGCCTGCCCAACAGCGGCCGCTGCTGGTTTGGGACAACTTTTGTTGTTGGGCATTGTCGCCCATCTCTTCCGTACCCACTTCGGGCGTCCAAATCGTTGGAGACGCGCCTCCCTGTGCGGGTGCTGGTGCCCGCGCGCAGGCTCCGAAGGGCCCAGGCACGCAGGCTGCCCACGGACAGCCTCCAGAGGTGGCCCCGCCCGCCCGCGGCAGGCGCCCCGAGCGGTCCCAGCTGGCCAGAACAGCCCTCCCGAGGAGGAGGAGGAGGAGGAGGAGAAGGAGGAGGAGGAGGAGGAGGAGGAGGGGGAGGAGGGAGGAGGGGGAGGAGGAGGAGAGGAGGAGGAGGGGAGGAGGAGGTGGGGGGGGAGGAGGAGGAGAGGAGGAGGAGGAGGAGGAGGAGGAGGAGGAGGAGGAGGAGGAGGAGGAGGAGGAGGAGGAGCGAGGTGGGAGGAGGAGGGGGAGGAGGGGGAGGAGGAAGAGGAGGAGGAGGAGGAGGCGGAGGAGGAGGAGGAGGAGGAGGAGCAGCTGGGACTGCTCGGGGGGGCCTGTTGAAGGGCATGTCCCTCTACAGGAGGAAACTTCAAAAATGTCCAAAAATAGTCTGGGGACGATGTTTGTAGTAGTTTCGCATATGTTTGAATATTTGTTGTCAATTTTAATGTTTCGGTCAAAATCCGCCTGTAGGGGGACATGCCCGACCTAAGACTACCTGGGGGGAGGCTGTCTGCTTCGCAGCCTGAAGCCTTACCAATCCAGGCCTCCCCGATGGGGTCCGAGCAGATGTGGTCGGAGGACTGCGCCGCGTCGCCGGTGCATCGGCGATGCGGCTCGATCTGGAGCCGATTTTGTCAGTGCCGATGTCGCCGATGCATCGCCGGCGTCGCGGATGCATCGCCGATGCGGTGCGATCCTCCGACCCCATCTGCTCGGACCCCACTCGGGATGCCCCTGAAGCACGCAGGGCGCTCCTGTCGCATCGCACGCAGCTATTGGCACGCCGCGCACGGATCCGAGGCCTCCGATATCCCTGACCTTCCAGAGCGCTACTGAATAGCATTCCAGACCTATAGATCTCTCTGGTCTGCCTCAAACCTCGACAGGAATTAGGACGTCGACATCCTGGTGCTGTTTTGTTAGCCCTCCTGGAAGGTCAGGGTCCCTGGAGGTATACTTCCTCATTCGGGGTGTCCGTTCCGGACGGCCCAAGGGCCCGAGAACGGCCCTGGAGGCCAAGAACTACGAAGCGCCGAGGGCGACGAGAACGGCCGAATATCAAGCCACGCGCAAAGTTGCGTCGCTCTTCCAGGGCAGTGTAGGGCCACTCCTCCTTCTCCTCCTCCTCCTCCCCCTCCTCCTCCTCCTCCTCCTCCTCCTCCTCCTTCCCCTTCTCCTCCTCCTCCTCCTCCTCCTCCTCCTCCTCCTCCTCCTCTCTCCTCCTCCTCCTCCTCCTCCTCCTCCTCCTCCTCCTACTCCTCCTCCTCCTCCTCCTCCTCCTCCCCCCCCTCCTTTCAGGACCCTTTCAGTAAGGGCTCCACGGCGCGCGGCGGCGCGCCGAAGCCCGTCTCCCCCCCCCTTTCCTCCCCCCCCTCCTCCTCCTCCTCCCACCCCCTTCCTCCTCCTCCTGCTCCTGCTCCGCCTCCTCCTCCTCTTCCTCCTCTTCCTCCTCCTCCTCCTCCTCCTCCTCCTCCTCCCACGCGCAGCCGCTGCTCGCGGCCTTCCTCGCCCTGTCCGCCATCCAGGTGGGCCGCCGGGAGGCCGCGCGCGGGCCCGTGCTGCAGCCCGAGCCAGCGGGCCTGGCCGCGGGCGGCCAGGAGCCCCGGGGCCCCTCCGGGTCAAGCGGTGGCGAGGTGTCCTGGCAGGCCTATAGGTAAGTCGGGGGCGTGCCTCTACAAAAGGAGTATTCAAAAATAGTCAAAAACATAGTCAGGGGACGATTCTTCGTCTATTTTTGGTATGTTTGAGTTTTGTGTGACTACTTTCTCTTCTTCGTCCAGAGAAATCCCCCTGTATGGGGGACATGCCCGACCTTCTTATAGGCCCACCAAAGAATGTTCTAAGAAGCTTTTGCGTTTTGCAAGAAACGTTCTTAGAGCATTTCTGGCTGAGACCGTTTTCTTTGAACACGTCGGGCTTACGTTCTCAGAATATTATTTGCGTTCGTAGAACATGTCTGGGTTCTAAGAACATGTCGTGGTAGGCCTATAGGAATGCCAGGACGGTCGGTCCCTGCTCAACTCAAGGCGTGCGCCCCGGGGTGGAGGTGTGTCCAGGTCTCCGGCGACGTTCCCGAGACAGTCGTGCAGGTACCCGGAGACCAGGACACAGACTCACCAGTTTCAGTTTGGCACCTCGGGGCCACGGCACCGCCTCCTGCGAGGTCAGACTTGTTGCGGGTTCCGGCGAGGACCCGGCTGATCGGGCCCGCCCGCCTCCCTCGGGAGGCTGCTTTTGTTCAGGGTTCTGGCGAGAACCTGGGTTACCAGGCCCGCCCTCGGAGGGCACCAACTATACACCAACACCGATCCTGGCCCAGGATCACCCTGGGCCCAGGATCGGTGTATATGCCTTCTTGCGCAAGGCAGGAGGGCGTATACACCGATCCTGGGCCCAGGGTGATCCTGGGCCAGGATCGGTGTTGGTGTATAGTTGGTGCCCTCCTACGCCCGACCCCTCCCCCCTCTCTCCCAATGATGACTCGACCTCGTCGGTTGCGCAGGTCCGAAGGAGGTGCGCGCGGGCACACGTGGGGCTGCCCAGAGCGAGAGGTGGGGTTATCGGCTGGCACCTCCCCTCCACTCCGCGCGTTTTTTTTGCCCAGGCCATCGCCGAAGAATCTTAAACGGTCTCCAAAGGAGGAAAAGACAATCACCGACATCGCTGCTCGGCCTGGCGAGCCCTCGTCGCCACGGCCGAATTCTCCTCGAAATGCTGACCAGAGCGTACCTCAAGAGGTCCGCGGAGTCGCCCTATCGGCACTTTTTTGGCCACTCCAGACATCATGTGCTTCGCAGTCCAGACGGGCCTCTGGACCTCTGTGGCCTATGTTTTTCTGCTTCGGCCTCTGCGGCCTCTGTGCGGGCCCGGGTGCAATCAAAACCGGATACGGTGCGAAAAAACTGGCCTGGAGCAGGGGTCGGGACCTCCCCGGGGCCGCGCACTGAAAAATTCGGGTCGTCGGATGTCTGGATTTTGGCACGAGGCTTATACGCCATTCCGCCGACCCCCAGATGAGATGTGCGGCGTGCAGTGTCGAATGTGTCGTTTGCCACGTCCCGCTGTGCTGCCTACACAGCCGGTGCCTGAGGCGTGGGCGTTGCTGGGATATGTGCGCTGTAAGTTGTTGCTGTAATGCGCTTCTAGATTGATCCATTCCCTCGACCTGGGCACCTGCAAGCCGCTTTGCAGAGCAAGCCAATTGCCTCTGGCAAAACGCGCGGGCGAGAAAGGCCCACGAGGGCCGCGTCCGAGCGACGGCGGGAGGTGGTGGCACTGGCTCAAGCTGGGGAGGCCCAGACGGCCTCCATGCCTTCGCTGCAGCCCTCACCAGGCCCAGAGGACCCCCAGGGTGTGCCACTGGCATCCTCTGGCCATCGTCTCCCCTGTCTCCCTGACGTCTGGCTCCTCTTGTTCCGCCTCTTGCTCCTCCGCCTCTTCATGTTCCTCCGCTGACTTCTCCCCCGCCTCATTCGCCCTCTGCTGGTGCTTCCTCCTTTATCTTCCGCCTTCTCATTGTCATTGTCCTACTTTTCTGCGTTCTCCTTCCTCGTTCTCCTCCTCGTCATCCTCGTCTTCCAATCCTTCACTCGAGATCACCCCAGTTTCTTCAGTGCTCACTGCAGTACTGAACGGGCCCCCCCTCCCCCGCCGCCAGCTTTTTGAACTGATTTTTGCAGGCGAACCCTCCGCCATTTTGTTGGCAGTTCCCCGCGCTCATTTTGTCACATGACTTTGCAAGCTCCAGCGCCTGGAAGCGCCCGCGTGCGCTCTCGGGCGCTTGCGAGTGCCCGTAGGCGCCTGAGAGCGCATGCGAGCGCCTGGGAGCGCCTTCGCGCGCTTGCGAGCGCTTGCGAGCGCTTGCGAATGCTGGAGAGGGAAGCACCCGGGAGCGCATGCGGACGCCTTATTCCAAACCGCAGTACGCCAGAAGAAATCGAGATTCATTCGAAGAAGATTCGCCGTCAGTTTTTCATTTGTTGTCTGAATTGGTTGATATTTATTGGTCTGTCCCCCGTCATTTTTGTCGGAGCGTCAGTTTCTGTTTTTCATTGGTTTCCTCGCCGCCCATTTATTTTGGGATATGGACTGTGTTGGCTTGCATCTGGTGTGGTCACTTGAGTGCGAAGCTGTTTGTGTGTGGTGTGTCTGTGTCTGTTCTGTGTCTGTGTCTGTGTCTGTGTCTGTGTCTGTGGTGTGTGTGTGTGTGGTGTGTGTGGCGTGTGTGTGTGTGCGTGCGTGCGTGCGTTCGTGCGTGCGTGCGTGTGTGTGTGGGTGTGTGTATGTGTGTGCGTGCGTGCGTGCGTGTGTGTGTGTGTGTGTGTGTGTGTGTGTGTCTGTCTGTGCCTGTGTCTGTGTCTGTGTCCGTGTCTGTTTTTGTGTCTGTGTCGGTGTCCGTGTCTATGTCTGTGTCCGTGTCTGTGTCTGTGTCTGTGTCTGTGTGTGTCTGTGTCTGTGTCTTTGTCTGTGTCTGTCTGTGCCTGTGCCTGTGTCTGTGCCTGTATCTGTGTCTGTGTTTATGTGTCTGCGTGTGCGTGCCAAGAGGGCCAAAGGGCTTGCTCACTGCTGGGCCATCGCCCTCAATGCTCTCATCGATGCCGGGAGGTGCTAAAAATGTCAGAGAGTCGGTCCTCATCAACCGTGACCACCACCACCAGCACCACCATAGCCACCCAGAGGAGGAGAGGGAGGGAGGTGGTCGGCGTCGGGGTCGTCGCCTCTTTGCTTCTGCCTCCTCTGCCTCCGCCTCCTCCCTCCTCGCCCTCCCTCCCTCCTCTCCGACCCCACCTCGGCACGAGTCGGTGCTAGTGCATTCCTTCCTCTTCTCCCCTCCTCTCCTGCCCTCGTCTCCCTCCGTCCCTCCATCCCCTCACTTCTTCCCACTGTGACCCCCTTCTCCTCCCTCCCTCCTCCACGTAGCCAGGCGCAGGCTCATTGGTCTCCGAGGAGGAGGAGAGGAGGAGTAGGAGAAGGAGGAGGAGGAGGAGGAGGAGGAGGAGGGGGAGGAGGAGGAGGAGGAGGAGGAAGAGGAGGGGGAGGAGGGGGAGGAGGAGGAAAAGGAGGATGAGCAGGAGGAGGAGGAGGAGGAGGAGGGGGAGGGGGAGGAGGAGGAGGAGGAGGAGGAGGAGGCAGAGGAGGAGGAGGAGGAGGAGCAGGAGCAGGAGCAGGAGCAGGAGCAGGAGCAGGAGCAGGAGGAGTCCCTTGCGCCGCCGAGGAGGAGGGCGAGGCGGGAGCGGACGACGCGCTCTCCCTCCTGCAGACGGCGGTCGCAGTGGCCCAGGCCAGCGGGCCGACCGAGACTAAATCGGGCCTGTCCCTCTAAAGGAGGAATATCTAGAAGTAGTTAAAAAATAGTCTGGGGATGATTGTTCGAGCATTGCTTGTCTATTTTTGAATATGTTTTTGAGTATTATTTCTTTTCGCTCAAATTCCGCCTGAAGGGGGATATGCCCGACCTAAGCCGAGACCCCATGGTTGACCCGATGGTCGCCACGAAGCAAAACAGGACCCCCTCGCGTCGTTAGGGGAACGAACGAACAGTGCCATAAACATAACAACTCAGAGGTCCGCGCGGATTTCTCGGATCGGCGCTGGGGCCTGGGGCCCCCCAGCGCGGATCCAAGAAATCCGCGCGGAGCGCTAAAAGTTTATATTTATGGTGTTGTGTCCCCTTTCAACATCAGGACCCCCTCGAATCGTGAGATAAACACTGTTTGCCGCGGCGGCGAGAGTCCTAGCCGCGTTCTGAGGCAGGCGTGGGGTGCTTGTGGCCGAACCGTGCACGGCCGGCGGCCGGAGGGAGGAGAGCGCGCGGGAAAGGGAAGAGCACGCTCAGAACATGCAGTCCTTCAGCGCGTCGTCATAAGATACGGAGGAAGGCTTTTCTCATGTCGGCCATCACCAGGCCTGGGGGGCGTTAAAAACGACTCGGGATGCGAACCTGTCCCCTGGAGGGATCCAGACCTCTTGGGGCCGCGCAATGAAAAAGCAGATCGTCGGATGTCTGGGAACTGATCTTGAGGGAAACGATTCCTGAGGCGCTTCACCGCTTTCTGGCTTTGAGGGCTATCCAGGGGCCTGGGACGCTAAAACAACTATCCAGGATGGAGGGCAAAAACACATTTGTTTTAAACACACATATGTGGAACAAAAAAACAAACATTTGTGTGTGCATGTGTGTGTGCTTGTGTGCGTGTGTGTGTGTGTGCTTGTTTTCCACGTGTGTGTGTGTGTGTATGTGTGTGTTTGTGTGTGTCTGTGTCTGTCTGTCTGTCTGTCTGTCTGTCTGTCTGTCTGTCTGTCTGTCTGTCTGTCTGTCTGTCTGTCTGTCTGTCCGTGTGTGCGTGTGTGTGTCTGTGTGTGTGCGTGTGGATGTGGGCGTCTGCATGTGCGTGTGTGTGTGTGTGTGTGTGTATGTGTCCGTCCACTGATGCGTTTGCTGTTTCCACGATTCATAGATGTGTGTGTGGTGTGTGTGTGTGGTGTGTGTGGTGTGTGGTGTGTGTGTGTGGTGTGTGTGTGTGTGTGTGTGGGTGGGTGAGTGGTTGCTTGGGTGTGTGATATGTGGTGTGTAGTGTGTTGTGTGTGGTGTGCGGTGTGTGGTGTGTGGTGTGTGCGCGTGCGGGTGCGCCTGCGCGTGCGCGTGCTCGTGCGCTTGCGCGTGTGTGTATGTGTGTGTGTTGTGTGTTGTGGTTTGGGTGTTGCTTGTTGTGTGTTGTGTGTTGTTTGCGTGGTGTTTGTGTGCTGTGTGTGTGTTGTGTTGTGTTTTGTGTGTTGTTTGTTGTGTGCTGTGTGCTGTCGGCTGTGGGCTATGTGTTTGTGTGTGGTGGGTGGTGCGTGGCGTGTGGTGTGTGCGCGTGCGCGTGCGCGTGCGCGTGCGCGTGCGCGTCTGTGTTTTCTGTGTTGTGTGTTGTGTTGTGTGTTGATTGGTGTAGGTTGTGGGTTGTGGGTCGTGTGTTGTTTGTGTGTGTAGTGTGGGTGTGTTGCGTTGTGTGCTGTGTGTTGTGTGCTGTTTGTTGTGTGCTATGTGTTGTGTGCCGTGTGCT